CGCTCCGAGTCGACGGCCGCGAGCGTCACGACATCACCGGACGAGACGAGGTGGCGCGATGGCAGCGTGAGGCTCTTTTGGTACACGACGTCCATGACGATGGCTTTGGCGTGGCACCCCATCATGGACGTGACGTACTGGCCAAAGTCGATGATGGTGACCGAGAGAAACGAGAGGCCTGTGAGCAGCCCCGCGAGGCCGTAGCCGGACGAGATGCCAATCACAGTCGAGAGCGGGCCGGTCGCCGGGTCGTGCGCTAAGAACTGCAATAGCGAGTGGATGACCGCGGGTTGCGCGAGCATCGGGATCGCATACACGTTGTAGATGAAAAGCGATGCGTAGATCTCGCGGCGCAGCGTGGCCCAGATGACCTTGTGGAACTCGGGCTTGTCGCCGGCCGCGGCCCACGCGGCGGTGAAGCGGCGGTTGAGCGCGGCGGCCGTGTCGGCGTCGCGCACCGGCCAAATGTCCGCCTCGGCCAACGGCGAGATGGCGCCGCGGCGAATGAGGCCATCAAGCCACGCCATGAGAAAGATCGAAACGTAGCTTGAAGTGGCGAGCGGGTGCTGGACCGGCGTCGGCTTGGCTTCCTTGGCCACCGTGGGCGACCGGACCTCGCTGAATGTCGCGTCGTCTCTCGTGTTCATTCGAACGCTTTTTGGAAAATGAACTGAAAACCGCAGCGATAACGGTCTTGTCACGCTTGCCCAGTTACAGTGTACGGCGCAGTTCCGACCTTGGAGCTACGGCGCCTCCACCAGTCGTCGCCAGTACTTGGGCGCGCTTTCCAGATGCGTTCGGTGTTGAGAGGCAGGAACCCTGTTTTTAGCAGCAGTTCAAGCTCCCGGATTGGCCGCTTTTTGCGCTCAGCTGCTCAACTGCAAGCAGATCTGCAAAGATGCGAATGTCATGCGCCAATGTCTCTAGTGATGGCACTGCGTCACTGACAACTGATACCATTGTAGTCACGGGGCGCCCCCCGTCTGCCCCCGTATTTGAGGGCGGGGGTGTTCAAGCCTAATGCCGCATCGACGCCACAACGGAGGATGGGCCGCGACTCACGACAACTACCGTGCAACGAGGCCATTGAGTCTGTCGTGCGAGAGAACACCGCGCAATGTGAAATCTCCCTTTCACGCGTCATCGCTGTGACGTGGGTGCGACAGATCCCACCGCATTGGAATCCCAGTTCTCTGCCTACGGGGTCGAGATCTGGTCGCCGAGGGACTCGGCATGTGTCGACGACGAATCTGTGTCCCCACGCTGCACCCATACTTGACACGCTAACGAGTGGCGCATGCAACAGCTTGGGTCCTCGCACCTGCGGTTACGCTCAGAGTCACCCTCTGGGCTTGGGACGTGAGCAACTTGCAGCTTGCTGTGCCCCCTTGCGCACATTACGCATTGAGGAGGTTTTTCCTTCATGCACTTGAAATCTCTACCACAGCCTCAAATGCTACCCCGAGCCGGGATCCTTTGCGACTCGGTAGAGTAGCTTGCGCTCGATGCACTCTCAAGCTGAGAGTGCATCGAACGCAGACCGACTGGTCGTTGCGAGTCTCAACGACTAGTCGGTCGCTGAAAGGGCACGGTCGCGTTGTCAAATGTGTGCGGTTCACAGCTGCAATGACTGGATAACCTCCCTTTCCGACCAAGTTATATGCAAGTGGCAGTAGCTACACGGCACGGGGGTCTTGATCGAGAGTACGTCTGGGGTAAGCCGGAGGGTCGCTAGCAGAGGTTACTGCTCTGCCACCAACACGACGATTTGTTCTAGAGGCTGGAAGCGTACGTCTTTGCTTCCCACGCGGCTATCGTCGCATCGCTTCCATCGAAACCTGCGCAACAATTTAGAGTCACCCAACATCGAATATCCACAATACAATGGCGGTATAGCATCATATCGATGCCACCAGCAACAAATTAGTGCTCCAAACGAATTGCACTCTTCGAATCGCGAATGATTGCTTTTCACAATCAAGCTAGCTGCGCCTGCTTGGCCAGCTGCGCAAACTCACCTTCTTCGTTCGCGAGCAATTCGCTCGGGGGGCCGTACTCGGCCACACGACCGTCGGCCATCACCAGAATCTGGTCGCTGTCCAGAATCGTGTCCAGACGGTGCGCAATCACGAGCAAGGTCACGTCCTGAC